CCTGATCTACTTCTTCTAAAATTTTTAGCTCCTCACAAAAAATTTCCTCAAAACTCGGATCTGACTCAACTTCTTCTTCTTCTTCTGGACTTTCCTAATGTAATTTATTTCTAGAGGTTGATTATTTAGTTGGTTCTCTGGATTGAAGATGTTGAGATCAGGAGTTAAATTCCCAAAGGACAGCTTCATTTGACCAGTTCTACAGTTAATGAGAGCATTAGAAGTAGCTAAGAAAGGTCGTCCTAAGATGACAGGTGTCCGTCCTTTAGGATTGGAAACAGGTTGTGTTTCCAAGACTATAAAATCTACTGAAAAAATAAAATCTCTAACCTTAATCAGAACATTCTCTATCTCACCCATAGGGACCTTGACAGATCTATCAGCTAATTATAAGGTGCATCGGATTGGTTTCAATTCACTTAAACCTAGTTGCTGGTAGACTGAATACGGAAGCAAGTTGACACTGGCCCCTAAGTCTAAAAGCGTCTTATCAATGTGAGTATTACCAATGACACATGAAATAACGGGGGAACCTGGATCTTTACGTTTCAAAGGTATGGTCTTTGAGAGTATATCACTGATATTGGCTTCCAAAAAAACTTTCTTCGGAACATTTATTCTTCTCTTCTTAGTGCACAATTCTTTCAAAAATTTGGCATAAGATGGGATTTGTTCAATTACATCTAAGAGAGGAATATTAACCTTAACATGTTTGAAAGTTTCTAGGATCTTCTCCTCTTGAGAGGAGTGTTTCCTAGGCCTGAGTCCATCTGAAAAGAAAGCAACTGGTCTAAAAAAAAAGCAGGCTCAGGTTCGGGTTCGGGTTTTTGGTCATTTGAGAGGGGTGATTGTTGGATAGAGTCATCATCAGAAGAAGAAGAAGGAATTTGTTTTAGATCAAGATCTTGACTTGGAGGTGTTCTCACTTGATTATTGACCTGTTTCCCTAACCGTAGTGAATGGATTGCATTCACTTGAGCTTCATATAATGAACTAGATCATGTATCCTTAGGGTTGACCACGGGTTGACTCGAAAATTTTTCTTTCTCTTTTTCACTCACAGCATTAGCTAATTGACTAAGTTGGGTTTTTAATCTAGCTATCGCTTGAGTGTTGGAGTTGAGTATTTGTCCGGTTGATTGCATAAAGGAATTCAGAGTGCTGGATGTTTGAGTCAACATATTCGTGGTTTGTGTAAAGGCCTTAACTATGGTTTTCAAACCCTTTTCTAAGACATTAAGACGTTTATCGTGATTTGAATTGGGAGGAGTGTAAGTTACAGCTTCATGATGAGGAGACTGATTTTGATATGACAGATTGAGTTGTTGAAAATTTGGATGAGAACTGAAAGGAACTGTGTTTCCCCTAGGAAATTATTGGTTTGAAGAGGGAGTGAAGTTTTGAGTTCCGGAGAGATTTTCTTGATTCCATACAAAATTAGGGTGATTTCTCCAACCTGGGTTGTAGGTTGGAGAAAATGGATCATTCACAGGATGCTAGAATGCAGCGTTAACCTGTCCTAGTGGCTGATTATTTCCTAAGAGAGGATATTCTTCTGAAACATGGAATGGTGAAAGACAGTTGTGACAACTTGAGACAGAAACTTGATTGATTTGAGTCGGTGCTCTTTCCTTAATTTCTAGGGCTTCTAACCTGCGCATAATTGTAACCATCTTAGCTTCAGATGCAATGTTCGACTCTAAGGAAATACCACTATACTTAGGTTGGTGAATGGATGAAACTTTGTCATCACAGTGTTCCCACTGCATGGTTTTCCCAGATAGACTCTCTAAAAATTCCCAAGCTTTGTCAGCGTTTTTTCTCATGAAATCCCCTTGGCACATCGAATCTAAGGAATGTTTTGAAGAATAATCCAATCATTCATAGATGATTTGGCATAATCGCCATTTCTCGAGACCATGGTGAGGACAATGGATAAGAAGGTCCTTGAATCGGTCAAAATACTTCTAGAAAGGTTCTCCCGGGATAATTTTAAAATTCATGATGCTGTTTCTTAGCTTAACCATTTTGTAGATAGGATTTTTTTTAGAAAAACGGTCACAAATTCATCCCAAGTTGTAAAACCCCAAAAATTTAAATATTTTATAATAAATAATAATAAATGTGTTACATTATGATAAATGATATTTATTAATGTTTGAGTATGTTAAGAATTTATTTGAGATCAATTCAATGTATATATGTGAATATAGAAGTGATATCATGAACACGTGCACGGGCCTGAATTTGGGAAAAACGACCAGTTAAAAGTATATGCATTTTACACACCAAAGAAGTTAGAATCTGGAAAAACTTAAAAAATCAAAGTTGAAGGTATCTTCAAGATCTTTTCAATAAATCTTATATCACCTCATTTTGTGTTCAGATTTGAAAGTTATGGTCAAAATATCAAAGGTTATTTTCCTAGTCAGACTAGGTTTCCTCGTTTGGGTCAAACATGTTTGTTTCGGGTTTACCCTCATTAAATACCTATGTTTGTCATGAAAATTATTCACCTTTATTATATCTATGAACCCTAGCAGTCACCCTCTCCCCTCAAAAACCCTAGATATTTTTTTATGAATTTTGAGAGCTTTGTGAAGCACAATACCGATACGAGGGCGAGATCTTCGACGTGTGACAAGAGAGAATGGGTTATTTGTGCTCGTAGATTGGTTGCTATTTATTTTAGAGGCTTAGAATGACATTTGAGGCAAGATTATCTTTATCCATACACATCCCCATAGTTAAATAAATAGTATAGATGATTAATATGATGTTGAATATGTAATTTCATGTTTAAATCTTAACTTGTGATGTTAAAAATCAGATTTTTTTGATAGTAAATCTTAAAATAATACTAGATTAGTAATCTTTTCTTGCTGTTTATGATATTATCATAATCATGATCATTAGGGTTATTCATAATTTTATTTATATATGAGAAAATTAAGAGATGTACTAAATATATATTTTCTGCAGAAAACTGCAACACTTGTATAATCTTTAACTAAGAATTTTAGATAGAAACTAAACTCCAAATTTAACCAAGCTAATTCCAAATGAATGCTTTCTGTATCTAGTTTCTAAAATAGAAAACCATTCTTAAAAAGAGTTTGCATAGAGAAAGATATGTTCTTTTTACTAACAACATATTCTGCAGAAAAATTGCTACACATGTATAATATTTAACTGGAGATTTGGGATAACAAACAAACTCCAAATTGAACCAAACTTATGCCATTTGAAAGATATATGAATCTAGTTTTCAAAACAGAAAACCATTTGTAAAAATAGTTTTCCTAGAGAAAGATATACTCGTTTTACTAACAGAAGTCTTGTCTGTTTTCCTGATCGTTTTGTGGAGCTGTGTTGCGCCGTTTTGAGATGCGTTCGCGGAGTTTTGAGCGGCTTGATGTTACACGTATAGTCATGAATATATCATTTTACACATTTGAGAAACCCAAGGGGATTATGATGAGTTTTGATTTGATCATATTTGAATTAGATATCATTAATACACATGTTGGATGTCGTTGATGAGCACAGCTCAGTACCATATGTGATAGTGCGACGACATACCAGATAAACACAGTTTATATATGAGGTGGATATCATTGATGAGCTTAGTTCAGTACTACATGAGGTAGTATGTCAATATTCCACATGTACAAGCTATTGAGTCAGATTTTAGGAGGCTTGATCTAGCCGTCCGTCGCGTACTAGGGTGCGATGAGGCTTGTGAGCTGTATTTCTAGGATGCCTATTTAGTAGTCCGTCCCGCACTCATGTTACGCACTAAGATCACGATGAGACAAATGAACCGTGTACACAGTTCAGGATATCTACAGGGTAGTCTGTTGCATTTAGACAATTACCTGATAGCCTAAGTATGGCAGATGTCGGTTATGAATACGACCTATTACTGAAAAATATGACAGAGATACGTTGCTTTTGAAAGTATACAAAATTATGTGTTGGTATTTTATTCTATCTCCCCAGTGATAGTGGAAGATATTATAAATACGATGTGTTGATGTCTTAATTCTTTTACTGCTTTCTTTACTTCTTAGTTGGGATCAATGATTAGAGATTCACAACTTGAGACATATGGTATATATATGAGGGTTTCCTTGTTTGGAAGATTCACAACTTGAGACATATGGTATATATATGAGGGTTTCCTTGTTTGGATTATTTCGCTCGACGTATCATTCTCGTGTTGTGGATTTTCAATTGTTGGTTCCATTAGATTATCTTTTCTTAGTTCGGTATTAATGTTTAGATATCTACAATTTGAGACTTATGGTATGTGTTCGCGGGAAAAATTGTTGCTTTCTTCATTGATTCCATCGATTACAAAAATCCGGTCTTTTTATAAGATCCGGTTACAATGAGATTAAAAAAGAAATAAAAAATTACAACTTTTCTTTTTCGAACAAATCGCGAGCTCCTGTTTTGCGGTCACTCGCTTTGGTGGGTTCTTCGCCTGCGCCGGGGTTTCACTAGTAGAAAAATGGGCATCCTTGACGAGCTTTCCCGTCAGGGATGCTATTTTTTCCGTCAGGGATACGTATCCTTGACGGCTTCCCATCAAGGATACGCCGTCAGTAAAAGTCCCGTCAGGGAAGAAACATCCCTAACTGGCGGCCGTCAATAATACTCATTACTGACACTACCACATAATTTGTCTATGGGGAAGGTTTATAACTGTCCCACTAGATAACAAAACCATCCTCATAGGCCTACGGGAACGGTTACTCATCCGATATCATTGCTGTTGTAGTCTTTGGTCTAACGTGATAGTTCATGATTCGAGTAGCGCGTTTGTGAATTGTTCACGTTTATAACATTGGGGACAGTTTAACTAATGGGACAATTCATATTTTACATATGGTAACAGTTACGTGGCAACAAGAACGGTTATAGTTTCAGTTACCGTGATGCTTATGCACCAAGGGTGACGGTTTTATTTATAACCTATGAAGACGGTTATGTATCTATGGGGATGGTTTTATTTGTGATCTACGCCAATAGTTTTTTTTACCAAAGAAGACGGTTATGTATCTATGGCACTGATTCCGCATATATTCAACTCGATTGATCTGCATAGAAACATGAAAAATAAACATTATAGCAGATGACTGGAATACAACAAGAAATAAAATATATTAACATTTCTTAAGTTTAAACAGGTGTATCTCTTGCAGATAAGAAGGCAAGAAAAAAGAATGAGAGAATCAAGTAGTTACCATTTGATCGGCAAGCATAAGTACTGTTTTTAGTGTGTTTCCGTTACTTGAATGTAGTACCAAGTCCATAAATGCTGCAGAGAGGAGAAAGTACCCAGTGAAAGTGTAAAACGACTGGCATCTATAAGCATCTTAGGACAACAAAGCTAATTATGGACATAAATACTTACATTGCAGATCAAGGCACTCATGCCATGGTTTGTCATATCTCACACGTAAAAGAAGCCAATGAGATGTCTGAAGGGAGATATCCTGATATGAAACATCTCAAGCATTAAAAATCAAGAAAAAAGTGAGACAATATATGGCCATATGCCTTAATACTGAGCTTATATCTTTAACAAAATGGCGTACCGGTACAATCAGGATTGCAGGATAAAGTGACAAGTGTGTCGCCATAACCCATCCAAAGGCTGCCAAGGGAACTATACCTGCAAACATGTAGAATTTGATTAAATGAATGAAAGATATTGCTCAACCTTCATAACAAGTGCAACCAAGATAAAACAGTTCTTTTCATGGTACATAAATGTGAATGGACGTTTCCAAATGACAATGCTTGAATTCCATGCATACTAAAACTAGTTTCTTTATCAAAGCATATGAAACTCTATGATTTCCCAATAGAAATACCTGTGTTTCTTGGAACAGCAAAAAAAATATTTTATCGCAAGTTTTAGGCTAAGCTACCTGGATCCATTTTCTTAATTTAGTTTCACTAAGGCTTCTCTCCTCAATTAATTTATCCACTACAATAGTCTTTTTAATTGCCTCATCCAAGTGACTTAGGCCTACCTTTAGTCTTCCTTGTTTATTAACAACTCCTATGACTTTCTTGTGACCACATTTTTGGCCACCATCGCATGTTCATACTAGTTTCCTGCTAACAGTAAGAATGGCCATAATGTAATGTAGTCAGAATAAGTAGGTTAGTTTCCTGAAAATAGACAAAAGACAATAAAATAAAATAAAACAAAATAAAATCAAGTCATAGAGAAATTCTGCATGATTGATACAAATAGCTGCATGACAAAAGGCCTGGCTTTGGAAAGTTTTGTTTCTTACGTGAACAAGCTCCATAGATGGCCAATACGACCATCAAATTGTCAATTGGTGATGTTGATGAGCCAACACAGGTGATTATTGCCAAAGGATTCCATAAGAATACAAGGGATGCCAAGTCTCAAGTGTCCAATTTCCCTGAGTACAGAAAAAAAGGTAAATTGAAGAGATCAATTCAACCAATTTGTTGGCAATAAACTGGAATATATATAGAAAACACACACACACATAAATTTGTTTGAGAACTTACCTAGGTAAATTGAAGACTTTAACAAAGTCAAGCTCCTAAGATTAGTCTTCATGTCATGTGTGCTTCCTACTGCAGACTATAAGAAAAAGTTGGTTTGGAAAATTATAGAACAGAACCCATGCAAAAGCACAGAAAGCTCATAGATTCAAATGTTAACGTAAAAAAATAAGCATGTTCCAATTCTTTTGCATTTGATATAGCCTTTACGCAACATTGTTTTTACATATCCCTTATAAATTATTGTTAATATTTCTTTGAAGGAAAAAAATAATAAAAGAGCATACTGCTCTTAGAAACAAATATAATTTAGGGGTTTTTGCTTTTAGACCCATTTGTTTACTCCCATTTATTTTTAAACCCATGTACTATTATTTGTATCTTTAAGCCCAATTCACATTTTGTATTTATTTTTAAACCCAATCTTCAAAATATAAAAATAAGTGGTTTTGGGTTTAAAGATAAATACAAAAGGTGAATTGGGCTTAAAGATACAAATAATAGTACTTGGGTTTAAAAATAAATGGGAGTAAACAAATGGGTCTAAAAGCAAAAACCCCTATAATTTATTCTAACAGCCTCCTTCCGTCTACGCAGAGTTATTCAACCTAGAAATTCAAATAAAAGGTATAAAAGGATAGTTTCACTTAACCACTTGTCCATATTAAACTCAAGTTGCTAGAGGATACATGTAAACAAATTCTTTATATACAAGAACAAAAATATGAGTGCACCAGCATTACCGCGTAAAATCAAAGAATCACAAATAGGATGACATTCTGTCATATCCTTTGCATTACCTTTTACAATGGTTATGCTAAGAGACAGAACTCACGTAAAAAATAAATCAATAAATCAAGCTTACCAGTAAAAAATATGTGTGGGTAGTCCATCAACTCTGCATGTTGAAGACAGATACTGAAATTAATTCCAGAATAACAAATCCTCTATAAACTAATAAATGATTTTAACTCCGAATAGAGTCTTGTGATTTTAATTTGACATAAACACACTATCTGTTAACATTGACGACAGTCTTTTTTGTCTTTGCAACTTTTTCATATAAAAATTTTAAGAAATGTAAATTTTAGGTATTTTAAATAAACCATGTATAGATAAGAACATAAAGCAACACTACTACTGTCTCTTACCTCTTCACAGTCAATGGCCCAAAAATCGACAGTAGCAAAGGGGAACCATGGTACATGGATCCTGGAGGAAAAGAAAAACAAAAATAGGTGTTGTGATGTTTCATATATTTTCTCAAAAATCCCATAACCCATGTCCCAAAACTTAACCAAATTGCGATATTTAAGCTCACCCCAGAACCAGAATCAAGAAATCGCCTGCGCAGAGCCCAATTGGACAACCAAGAGTAGGAAAACGACAGAGGGAGGCCGAGAACGAGGACATAGAGAAATGGGTCATGCACAATTCTCATGGCGAGGTCTCCTCGTCTTCGTCATCATCATCAGCCTTCCTCTTCTTCTCGCTCTACTCCGTCTCGTCCTCCAATGAATCCAGTTTCTTCTTCTCATTCTTCTTCTCGGACTTCAGCTCCTCGATCGCGTGCCCGTTCTCGGTGTCGAGATACATCGAGGTGATTCCGTCGAGGGGGCGGCGGGGTGGGTCGGCGAGAGAGAGAGGGGAGATGGGGGGAATTTTTCGCCGCGAGTAGGAGGGAGGAATTTGTGAAAGGGGGGAGGATTTTGTGTGTGTGTAGGGGGAGGGGGAATTTGAGAAGGGGGAAGTTTTTAACAAGGGGGGAATTTTCGCGGGGGAAAATTTTGGAACAGGGCAGCCAACATCGCTGACGGGCTACCCGTCAGTGATGTTCATATCCCGTCAGTGATGTTTGTATCGCTGACGGCTTTGAAAAATTTGTGACGGCAACATCGCTGACGGCTAATCCCGTCAGCGATATAAACATCGCTGACGGCATTATCCCGTCAGTGATGTTGCCGTCAACAAAACCTATTTTCCCACTAGTGAAATATGAATTAATAAAATCAAGAAATAAAACTAAGAATGAAAAGGAAATTTAAGAAAGTTAAGATGAAGGATTCAAAAGAGGTAAGAAATCTAGAATATAATCAACTAACCAATTTCAATTACAAAATATAAACTATTCTCTTTTTATCATATTTCAACTTAGATTTATTAAGCATAGATTATCAAACCATTTAAGGAAAGTGTAACCTATCAAATTATCATCTAAGCTAAAATTACTATTCATGATAAGAACAACAACATGATAATAATCCTAGAATTCATAAGCATAACCTATCAAACCATTTAAGATAAGCATAGATTATCAAATTCTTCTTCTACCGATTAGTTCTCTAGTTGATTATCCTAAACATGAACATTTTAAGTACAAGAGAATAATTCATACAATATAAAGGAAATTAGACTAGTTTCATACAATTCTAAGATTCCTACAAGAATTAAATTCACATCTTAAGAAATAAAAACAAGAAAAAGAACTAATTACAAAAATAAAAAGAAAAGAAAAATCTAAACTATGAACAAGAAATAAATCTAATTACAAAGAAAATAAAAATCTAAACTACAAAATAAATTGCAGAAATTAAATGCAAGAAAAATAAATCTACTCTACAAATTAAAGTGCAAAAAGAAATAAAAAAGACAAGAAAATAAATCTACACTACAAGCATGAATTTAAATCTAACTAATAAGCAATAATAAAGAAATTACTAAAAAGAAATAAAAGAGAAAAGAAATGCAAACCTTCAAATTGCTCTTCATCTCCATCCTCATCATTCAACAAGAGGAGAAAGAACAAATTTAAAGAGGAAAAAATTATTTTTATTAATTGCAACTAAAGTTACAATTTTTGGAAGGCCTTCTCAATTAAGAGTAGCCCTCCTCTCCAAAAGGAGTTTACAAAATTTTCACACCTCTAACCCCTCACTCTCTACCCCTATTTATAGTAATCTTCAATGAATATGAGCCATTGGATTTGTCTTGAGCCCCAAGCAACAATCTCCACCTTTGTGGAGTATTAAGAAGCAGTTTATACTCGTATACTTTTCGGAGTATTGATTCTTTCATTGCAACGCATTGATAGGCGTTGACCTAGGGTTACGTGTTGACCTTAGGGTTTTGAACGTCATACGTTGACTTTTTGATCACAACGCGTTGACTGGCGTTGACCTAGGGTTAGGCGTTTGACCGGCGTTTGACCGGCGTTGACCTTAGGGTTTTGAACGTCGTACGTTGACTTTTTGATCGCAACGTGTTGGCTGGCGTTGACCTAGGGTTACGCGTTGGCTGGCGTTGACCTTAGGGTTTTGAATGTCGTACGTTGACTTTTTGATCGCAACGCGTTGACTGGCGTTGACCTAGGGTTACGCGTTGACCGGCGTTGACCCTAGGGTTTCGAATGTCGTTGGATGCTCAAGTCACGAGACCAACTAATGAAGCTGATGCGTCAGTGACTCTCGTATTTATAGGATTTTTGGCAAACCCTCAGCCATCAATGAGTTTGATGAGCCTTTACCGACTACCGTTTGAGTCGGGCTAGCATGCGGATTGTTTAAGTCCGTTCCGCATGTGACGTTATGCTAAAAGAGTTAACTCTTTTAGTGCTACGACATTGAATACGTAGACTTCGTCTTTCTCACGGGAATAGACTACCCGGCGACGCGTGTTAGGCGTTGACTTTAGGATTTTTGGCTAATCCCCAGCCTTCAACGGATTTGATTAGCCTTTACCGACTACCGTTTGAGTCGGGCTAGCATGCGGATTGTCTAAATCCGTTCCGCATGTGACGTTGTGCTAAGAGAGTGAATTCTCTGAGACTTTGTGCTATGATGTCGAATACATAGGCTTCGCTATTGTTACGGGAATAGGCTACCCAGCAACGTGTATTAGACGCTGACTTATCCCTACTTAGGCTTCGGGATAAAATACCCCAGAATCGAACTCTGGTGTCTTTTTCTACGGAGAAAGACTAAACCGGCGACGCGTGTTAGGCGTCGGGCATATCCTTTCTTAGGATTCAGGATGAAATTCCCCATGCGTGTAAGGCATGGATTTTGGTGTTATTAATAACAACCTGTCACAATGTTGAATATGTGAACGGGTGTTCTTTTTAACGGTTAAGAACTAACCGGCAGCGCGGGTTAAGCGCAGACTTATCCTTGCTTAGGTTTCAGGATAGAATACCCCAGAATCGAACTCTGGTGTCTTTTTCTACGGAGAAAGACTAAACCGGCGACGCATGTTAGGCGTCGGCATATCCTTTCTTAGGATTCAGGATGAAATTCCCCATGCGTGTAAGGCATGGATTTTGGTGTTATTAATAACAACCTGTCACAATGTTGAATATGTGAACGGGTGTTCTTTTTAAACGGTTAAGAACTGACCGGCAGCGCGTGTCAGGCGCAGACTTATCCTTGCTTAGGTTTCAGGATAGAATACCCCAGAATCGAACTCTGGTGTCTTTTTGTGCAGAAAAAAGACTAAACCGGCAGCGCGTGTTAGGCGCAGACTTATCCCTGCTTAGGATTCGGGATAAACTTCCTAGGATGAATCCTGAATTCTTCGAAAAGGATTGGTATGGGGAAGGAAGAATTTTATATTCTATTCCCCGAACAAAGAAGGAAAGGAGACTCGAGGTGGGATCTCCACCCCCAGAATCCGGAAAGGTGAAACTAAGAGTGGGATCTCCACTCCGAGAATCAAAAAGATTCGGATAACCCTAACTGTCGGAAGGTTTGATTATCGAACTAAAGATGAATTTCTCGTTTATCGAGAATGAATCGTGGTTTTGGTCCTAACTGTAGGAAGGTTTGACCAAGTGGGAGGTTTGAGGTGACCCTAACTGTAGGAAGGTTTGATCACTCGATTTGAAAGTGGACCTCTCGTTCATTGGAGGAATCGAGAGGGGATTTTGACTGTGGTCCTAACTGTAAGAAGGTTTGACCAATCAGGAACTTTACGTCCAGACTCTAACAGAGAGAGTGTTGAGTGCACAGACACAGTGAGAACTTGAATGGGAGTCCTTATTCATTACATTGCTGTGGTTTTGGGAACTTCCCGTTACATAAATCGTCCACCCCCAGTTTCCTCTGCGGAACTGGTTCGGACATTATTATCAGTTAACTAACCGGGTTATCCTTA